TAAATCAAATAATGTATGATGTCATCCATGTGTTTGATTAAAAATAGGAATTCCTGCATAGTCATTTGTGCAAAGAAAATCTGTAATAAACACACAAAACTGAAATCATTGGTTGCTTATAGGGAGGACTATATCAGGGTCAAGGAAGGCAGAGAGACTACCCGTGGCAGGCTTTATGTGAGCCATGAGACTGTTTATTATGCTTGGGCAAGCAGCAAGTGGGCTGAACCTGAAAGAGGATTCAGGGTGTCAGGGCAAAAAAAAAAAAAAAAAAGGGAAGGGGTTGCCAACGTGTCAAAGGTTTTTTCTAGGCATTGATCTGCAGAGTCACCATTTTAAGTAGTCTAGGGACAGACAATGTGGCTCTTTGGACCTGGCAGCGGTACAGATGTGTCCTGGAACTGAGAGTGGTTGGCTGTTCTTTGACTTCGTGGAACAGAGAGGTTAGAACATGGTGACCTGCTGTGAGCAGAGGCCAGACTGAGCTCTTCAGCAGTGTCACCCACTGAGCTTGACAAGGACATTTGTTCGTTTGTTTGTTTTTATCGGCCAGGTCAGTGTCTATCTGGCAGATACCAGGCCCTCTTTATATTTATTTAATGGCTAAGAATAGTTATACGTCATTGCTTTGTTCTGATGGGCCTCCAGTAAATGTTGACTTCTGAATTCCCTTATAAACATTTTGTTTTAGCATTTGATACTTCCTTATATTATGTATAAACTTTCCTACTAATTATAAAACTTAACAGGCTACCTTATCCTTTCATTCCCTTATGTTTAACTTTTACACATTGAATTATTCATTATCATATATAAAATGTGTTATTTTTGTTATTCTTGCTTATATTTGTGTTTGCGTGCTTTAAAGAACCTATTGTTTTTGTTAAAATTTCAGTTTTGCATAATAATTGAGAACATGTACTCAAAATATGTTCCTTGAACTTGAACTATCTGATACAACCTCGGCAAATTATTTAACATCTAATAGACCTTGATTTCTGTATCTGTATAGTGATGATTTGATGTTGAGTTTATGTGTGGTGCTTAAATCAACATCTGAAGGCCGGGGATTTAGCTCAGTGGTTCTGCTTCCTGCTTCCCAAGTACAAGGACCCGAGTTCCATCCCTGGTACCAAAAGAGTAAACAAATAAAATAAAACAACACCTGAAACATAGTAAATACTATATATAGAATTTTAACTATTAGTATTGATTCATATGGAAGAAAGTGAGTTGAATGACAGCAATTTTTTTTCTTAACTTTATCTGTGTTTCTATCCTTTTTTGTTGTTTTTTGTTTGTTTGCTTGCTTGCTTGTTTGTTCTGGGGATCAAACTCAGGACCTTGCACTTATGAGGCAGGCGTGGTGCCACTGAGCTAAGTTCCCAGCTCGTGTATTCCTATTCTATATAGATCTCTTTTCTTTTCACTAAAATACTCAATTTCTAAAGCTATATTTTATTTCTTTTATAGTTAACTTGTTAATCTTGAGGCATGACGTCGCCTTAATGAATGAGAATCTCAACAGCTGCTCTTTATAATTGCTTTTCATAAATTGAGTTGGAGTGTTCAGGGATATTAAATCACTTTGTTAATACCTATTTTATAATTGCAAAAAGAGTATGACGGACTGTACAAACACTGACTGTATTCACTGTGTATATGGGTGGTTTTGCATTGTTTGTGCCACGTTGTTTTGGAGGTGTGCATTCATCAGCTGTCCTGTGTGATCTCTTTGCCTTGCCCTGTAATCACTTGAATGATGGTCCTTTTGACAGAGAATAGTCAGTTTCTTATAGATGAATTAATGTTTTTATGAGTTGAAATAAACATTTTGACATTTGAAATATTTCAAAGTATGAATGAAAGATGCAATTTATTTTCATGTTTAAAGTAAGTCCACAGTATGTAGTTCTTTTATTGGTAATTTATTTTGTGCATTTTGAAATTAAAAACAAATATTGTGAAATTGAATTTATTATTGCGGTACATTTCTATAAACTAGTGGTTTTAGTAATCACTGTTGGTAGCAGATGGCAGAAATGAACTTTGTGTAACAGTAGCAAGATGTCTTACAATTTTCTTGAATTTAATTGCATAAGTAGATACATTACAGTTAATTTGTTTACGTTTGATTTTGTTTCAGTTTAACAAATCACTGTTAAACTTTTATACTCCATTTGTGTCATTGGACTTGATAATAAAAGCTGTTAAAGTAACTGTGTTGTACAATAAGAGGCCATTCATGTGAAATTAACTATGGAATACTCTACCTAAAAACTTCAGTGCTTGTTTGAATTATTCTATGATCTGTTTCTAGAGTTTCATTATGTTTCTCCTTGAGACTAGATAATGGAGGTAGAGAGAGTGTGGTTCAGTATTTAGAGGTACTTAATCGCTGAGTCTTAATGATGTAGAAGTATCTGTCTTTTTTAGAAAGGCAACTTTCCTTTTCTTTTTAATTAAAATTTACTAGAGATAATATTACTCTTTATACTTTTTGTCAGTATTTCTATTGAAATTTTGTTCTTAAATCATTAAAACAATGCCTCAAAATAATAAAAAGAATACTATAAGATCCTTGATATCCCACAATATTTTTAAATTACCAAAATGTAAGAAAATACATGAAATCAAAACAAAATTTGATTTAAGAGTTAAAGTGAGCTAATGAAGCTTAATAATAACTTGTATTGCAAGAAAAGAAGAGAGTGCTGTCTTGAAAACAAGGTAATGACAGAAGAAATAAAATAGCCTTAACTTATTTAGGCCATCGTATCAGACCTTTTTAACAGATAGCTTTTTTATTTATGTGTCAGTTTTCTCCCAGATGTTTCTTTGAATTATTAATGGATTAGTTTCTTTGAACTATTAATAGAATAGTGTCTAAAGTTTTGTATGTTAAAAACTAATAGTTTGCTAATGGCATATTGTTTCTAATGATTTGCTTTTACTGGTAAACGTTGGAATGGTATTGATGATTGGAATGCTGTGTTTGTTTATAGTTGGAAGAAAAGTAGGGATGATATAACTTTCTCACTTGAGGTCTCAGTGAAAAGTTAAAAACATGAATTCATTGCTGATAACTGTCATTAACCAGATACAGTATTATTTCTCCTCCAGTGACATGAGGCTGTGAGTATAAATGAGTTAGGATTATTAGCTGGTATCAGAATATTTATACTGTGGTAGAATCCACAACATACCAAATGGGAGCTGAGGCAGCAGTTCAATTAGGATTGTTGTACAAATAAATCTATTGCATTGCTGTGTTGTTATATATTATTGGAAAGAACATTTGCTGATTTGCGTTATAGTCAGTAACACTTAACTGAATGGAATTCTTGTAAAATTATATAACATGGAATATTTAAAGTTATAAACTGAGTGTCTCAATGTATCATTAAGGAAAATTTTAAGAAAGGGTTTTTGCTGCTTAGTTCAGGCTAGTCTTGAACTCATATCGATCCTCCTCCCTTTTTGTCCATTATTACTAGCATAGTATCCTTCTTACTAAGTTATTAACTAATTATTAACTGTTCTGTGAAATTACATCACAGATAATCCATAAATAATGTGTAGGTTTTTGTATTTATATGTACTTAGTGAATCCTTGTTATATGCAACACACTGTGTAGGCATTCAGAAGGATAGGACACATATATAGGTTCAAAAGATACATTCACATTGTTTATTATATTTTAAACCTTTACCCACTGCACTTTTCATTTTGCCTTGTAAAAAAGAGCTTTGACTTATGATTAACATTGTAATAACATCAACTATCAAACCAAACCATCTGACTTTTGAATACCATTTTGTCCACTGCTAACTTCCAGTGACAGTCTAATCTTCATTGTTCTAATCTGTAATGTTAAGAGAATTAAATATATTTATACATTCAGTGTTAAGTAGTGAATGATCTATGAATATTAGCTATTATATAATTAATTATAGGTGAATTCGAATTCTTATGAATACTCTAGCCTTATAGGTAAATTTCTAGAGAGGATACTTAAATTATTTTGAGAAATAATGTTTGTAATGATTCACTTCAACTTTCATTTCCATGAGGCCAGTTGGAATTTTAGCTGATCTTGCAATGCAGTTTTGCTGTGGCTGCAAGTTAAGTTCTACAAAAGTTAGTGATATTCTCTGCTTTGCTTTGAAGTAGCTTATTTCAGAACTTGTTTTTGTTTTTTTTTTAAGAAGTCACTGCAAGAAGAGTGAATTAACCTGAGAAAAAAGAAGGGAAATTTTGAGATATTTGCCTTCCCACTGCTTGTTTGTGGTCTAAGAAATGTGTTTTAGGGATTTATAATTCAGGGAGATCATATTTGGGGAAAGGGATTTGGGAAAAAATAAAGATAATTTAGTGTCTCCATTTTTATGAATATTCTGTCCCTTTGTCACCATGCATTATTTTAGTTCAGTTTATGTACTCTTTTTTTTTTTTTTTTTTTTTTTTTTTTATACCAGTGACGGAACTTGGGACCTTGTGCTTGTGAGACAGGCAGTGGAACACTGAGCTAAATCCCCAGCCCCATATGCTCATTTATTAAAATGACACTCATCAAGTACTGTGAAATCTGTCATCTCCGCAAGATGTAGGAAATAAGTAGAATTTATTAAATTAGATAATTTTTACATATTTATATCAAATTATTTGAACCATTAAATCTTTCCCCATCAAGTTATAATTGTTATTATAGCTGAATTGAAAAACATGTCAGACATTTGCATACAATAGTACATTTATACACACAATTATGTAGATCTATACAGCTCTGGTAGTACTTAAAATGTGGTATGTCTTGATGACTTATTTTGGGCATGAGGTCTGACATAATTGGGAAGCATTTCATTCAAATAGATCTTTTATCCATGTCGACAGAGTTACTTTAGCAGTAGAAAATACCGGATTTAGAAATGTTATTGTAAATGTCACAACCATAGGTAAATAGACTTACAGATCAAATATTTTCCTTTTTTTCCTTTAGTATTGAATTCGACCGGGATTGTGACTATTTTGCAATTGCTGGGGTTACAAAGAAGATTAAAGTCTATGAATATGGCACAGTCATCCAGGATGCAGTAGATATTCATTACCCTGAGAATGAAATGACCTGTAATTCCAAAATCAGGTATTTACATCATTTTCTTGGCATTATGTATGTAACATTTGGTATATATAGCTAATGTGAGATTATTTTATCTTTCTCTGAGACTCCTTACTCATTATTAGTGAAAACTGTAATTGTACTGTGAATGCAGAGAATACATTGCTGACTTAACAAGCTGTCTTTCTCATAGATAACAGTTGCTTTTCTGCTGTAGGGTTGAGCATTGTATGTTTTTCTAATTTCCAAATTAAGTTTTTCACTTAATTAAATTAAGGTCCTTCTTAGAAATGGTTGTTGTTGGAGTGTTTTTGTTTGTTTGTTTGGTTTGGTTTTGGGTTTTTTTGTTTTGTTGTTTTTTTTGTTGTTTTTTTTTTGGTACAAGGGATCGAACTCCAACCCTTTGCACTTGCAAGGCAGGCACTGGAACCACTGAGCTAAATCCCAGACCCTGTTGTAAAAGTTTACTGTAGCCTGAGGATAGTGCTTGAAAGTTGGGAATATTTTCCATAGCATACATATATCTCTGATATAATTATTTCTAGTTTTAAGAATTTTTTTCACAAGAATACTCTCCTTTTCCTTGAAGAAGTAACATTTAAAATTTCATATATTAGAGGTTACAGTTCATAAGGAGTACTTTTCAAACCTGAAATTGTGTTGAAAATGTAGGAACTACTTCTGTACTACTTCTCATATTTTTCATATGCTCCTCTAAATCTCCCTAGGTCTAAAATATGCTCTTTTCTTTCCTTATTCTTACTGTTCCCTTCTCTCTCCCCTTCTTTACAAAAAAAAAAAAATCAAGATTTCCAAGCTGTTCTTGTGAGCACTGGCTTAAAAGTGAATTATATACAAGGAAATCATCTAACACTAACTTTGTTTAGTACTTAGAACATTTCCAAAACAGGCATCCATGTACCTTTCTTAACATGGTAAGTTATACATGTAGGTTGAGTATCTTCTATCTAAAACACTTGAGACTAGAAGTATTTGTAATTTTGGCATATTTACACATACATGATGTGTTATCTTGGGGGTGGGACCCTGATCTAAGGACAGCATTCATTTATGTTTCATATACAATTTATACACATAGTCTGAAGGTAATTTTATACACTATTCATACTTTTGTGCATGAAACAAATTTTGTAGTCACTGAAGTATCAGATTTCTGGTTTCATGTCAGGGCCAAAAGTTTCAGATTTTTGAGCATTTTAGATATTTGTATTAACGATGCTCAACTGTGATGTGAGACAGATAGATATATATGCAAGTATTATCGTTTTTCTATGATTTGTTATAGCTTTTTTTTTTGTTTCTGAACAAATTCATAAAGTACTCCACCATGATAGTTTGTGAGCCTGCTCATTTGTCATTGGCACTCAGTTACAGTTTTTTTCCCAAGTAGATGGAATACAACATGTGTAATTAATAACATTATTAAATTCTTATATGTCAAGCCATTGTCCTAAGTGATTTGTTTTTAGCAGACCTGAAATATTTGCCATTATTCCCCCGTTTAATACACAAGGAAGCTGAAGCAAAGAAAGATAAATGAGTTGCCTTACATCATATGGCTAACATATGGAGGAGTCAGGAATCATTCTGAGGTGGTTTACTTCTAGAGTCTGTGCACTTTATTTATAAAAGCTACTTTCTATGTATTTATAGCACAAAAGACATAATGACAATAAGCTGTTTTATAGGAGTGTACTTTTTTAAACCTCACCATAATGTATTCGCCACAATACTTAGCCCATGGCAAGGACTTATAGTAAACATTACTTTTTTTTTTTTTTTAATTTTATTGAGTTTATTGGTACATTTTAGGGATACAGTACAGTTAACACTCATTGTTGGGATCATGTACCTCTACATGGCAAGTCTTGATTCCCATTTTTCCCCCTAACCTCTGCCCTCCCTTCACCCCCTCCTCCCCTGCCCATCAAGTAAACGTTACTTTAATGAAAATGTTAAGTAGAGGAATTAAATGTGCTATTTGCTTGTTTGTCCTATCACATGTAAAACTACACAGTACTTTACAGTACATTACATTAAATGGCAGAAATACCTTAAGATCAGAGCTGTTTACTTGGAACCAAAGAGATCAGTACCTAACCATAGCTAAAACAGAGTTGGCCAATCTGTTTTCACCAGTTGTGTAAATGCACTAAATTAACCAGCGCTGCAGCCATTAAGTATTAAACCTGGAATTTTTTTGGGGGGGTACCGGGGATCGAACTCGGGTCCTTGCGCTTTCGAGGCAGGCCACCGAACCGCTGAGCTAAATCCCCGGCCCTAAATCTGAAATTTGAAGATATATTTATCTAAATCCAAAATGCAATTGTTTTATATAATTTCTGTCAGAAAGTCTTGTAAATATTTTTTAAAATGTAAATAAATTCTTACTGGTCACTAAAATTTAGTGTGAATACAGGTAGTACTGAACAAGACTTTTTGTTCACATGCTTGGGCATTACTAGACATTAACTACTAAGTAGCTTCTTCCTTAATGCTCTTTACTGTATACTTGATTCAGATATGTATCTGAACAATAGCATATGTTTTAGCTGATACAGACTTTTGGAATACTGGAGAATAGCTGAAAGCATAACTATTAAAAGTGTGATTCTGTCAGATGCCTTTAATTGGAATTCCAATTGGAAATTGAATTGATTTAATTAAGCGTTTGTCAAATACATAATGCTGTATTCTGACTAGTTTATTTGGCTTATCTGATTTTGGTACAACTAAATCTTGGATTTTAAAAAGTCTAATCAGGTTTCCTTCATTCTGCCATGCCATGCCCAGGCCTTTATTATCCTCACTGCTTTCCTCATGTATCAACGATGGTCAGTGACAGCTATAGGCTCACATCTCTCTCACAAATACTGTCACCTTTAAAAATCTGTCATTACTGTCACTTCATGGATATGTTGAAGGTAGAAAATGATTGTGAACTTATATAAATCTTTTTAAAAGATAATCTTTCTGCTTTATATCCTGTTGCTCTTTATTTGTATGTAAACTAACTTTTAATTTTTTTTTTTTTAAGCTGTATCAGTTGGAGTAGTTACCATAAGAACCTATTAGCTAGCAGTGATTATGAAGGCACTGTTATCCTATGGGATGGATTCACAGGACAGAGGTCGAAGGTCTACCAGGTAAATAAATAAGGACGTTATTACTTAAGAATTTCCTTTTCAATTTTATTATAATCTTAGAGCTTTGATACAGTACTTTATAATTACAAAATTTAAATTACTATTTACTCTTTTTATAGCTACATAATGCCAGTGCTTTTCAGAAGGATTTCTTGAGACAACTGTGTGTTAGAATGCGTCAAATACATTTCAAAAAGCAGTAACTGTAGTAAATATACTTACAAAAGATTTGTTGTTGCTTTTCATCAGTATCTCAATTTGGTTTTTATAGCCTGCTTTCATTTCCTCTCCTCCCTAGCAATAAATTGATAACAAACTTTTTGAATTTCCTTATTTTAAATTCTGTATTCTGTCTTCTAAGTCTGCCTTTTTTTTTTTGTTTTTTTATTTTTTGTTTTTTGTTTTTTTCTTTTCCTATATCTAGGAGCATGAGAAGAGGTGTTGGAGTGTTGACTTTAATTTGATGGATCCTAAACTTTTGGCTTCAGGTTCTGATGATGCAAAAGGTACTATCTGAATCTCTTTCTCAGCACTCTCTTCTCCCCCTTTCCACCAAATCATTTTTTGGGAGAGGTACATTTTTTGCAATTCATAGCAAACCTTTGTGAATACTGATTAACTATTCCAAAAATAATATTAAGCCCAGAAATTAATTTCTGTTTTTAAGTGAATGAAAAATGAATATCTTACATCCTCATTATAATGATGTTTTCTGGATTTGTGCCACAAGGTAACATTTAGAACTGCTACCATCTTATAACCAGATCTTTTAGTTGTACTGTCTGATGAACTTATTTTCCTGAAATACTTTGAAGTTTTTTCATTTTGAATTACATTAAATTTCCAGTACATACTGAAATCTCTTAGTGATGTTTACATTTCAAAACAAAACTTCTCTTTCTCTCCCTCTTTCTTGCTTCTTTTTATATTTTTTCTTTTTATGGCTGTTTGCAAGTTGTAACTGCTTAACCACTGAGATATATCCTTAACCCTGTGTTTCTTTTGGCCAGTTTAGTATATGTGCTGCCGAAGCAAGCACTCTTTTGGCCAGTTTAAATGATTTTCTATTATTCTTACTACCCTGTTTTGGTGGGATTTTCCTCACCATTAAATTTATAAAGCTCTATGAGTGGGTTTTTTTTACTATAGTAGTAAGGAGGCTTAATTTCTGTGCCCTTTCATTCTTTTTTTTTTTTTTTATAACTCCCAATTTAATGGTTAGATGTCCCAGGATTACTCTCATTGGAAGCTTTATTTCACAGTGTGCTATGCCTTTTCCTTTGCCAGTTGTTATATAGAAAAGTCACTTTTTCAGTATTTTGAGTTATGCTGCAGTATACATGCATATACAAATATCTCTTCATATCCTTTCAGTACATTTAAGTATGCATTTACTTAGAAGTAAAATTGCTTTATGGCATGGTAATATGGTATGTCTTTGTCTAATGCTTTTTTTAGGGGGGTGGGATTTTTTTATGGGGTGGGTTTGAGACAGAGTCCTACTATGTAGTTCAGGCTGGCGTCCAACTCATGGTGATCCTCCTGCCTCAACCTCCAAAGGGCTGGGATTACAGGTGTATGTCACCACACCCAACTTGTTTAATATTTTTTTTTGTGGAACTACTATTCTGTTTTCTGTACCACTGCTAATTTTATAGTCCCACCACTAATGCCTATAAATGCCTGAGTGCTGTTTTCTTCACACCCTTGTCAACACTTATTATATGCTTCTTCCTTTCTTTATATACTTCCTAGCAAGTACAGAGTCTTATTTCATTGTGGTTTCGATTTCCATTTCTCTACTACTGTACTTGGTAATGTTTTTATTTTTTTATGTGTGTATTGGCCAATGATATATCTTTAATGAGTTCATGTCCCAGTTATTTCCACATGTTATTTGGGTTTGATTTTAGTTTTTAGCTGTGTTTGTTCTGCTTTGGCTGTGAGTTATCTGTATATTTTGGATGTGAAATCACTTTTTTTTTTTTGGTACTGGGGATTGAACTCAGGTCCTTGCGCTTGGAAGGCAGGCCACCAAACTGCTGAGCTAAATCCCTGGCCCCGTGAAATCACTTATTAAATAGGTAATTTGCAAATGTTTTCTCCCATTCTATGGGTTGCCTTTTTAGTGTTGATAGTGTTGTTTGATGCAGTGTTTGGTTTTATTTGTTTTATTTTCTTTTTGTTGTTGTTGTTTTTGTGAAGTCCAGTTTACCAGTTTCTCTTTGTTATTGCCTGTGCCTTTGATGTCATATCTGAGAAATCTTTGCTAAATCCATTGTCATGAAGCTTTCCTCTTGTCTTTTCTTCTAAAAGCTTTATAGCTTTTGCTCTTATATTTCTGTCTTTTTATCCATTTAAATATTTGTATATGGTGTAAGGGTATAGGGTTATCCTTTTACACTTACTCTCAGCATCACTTACTGAAAAGTCTTTCCTTTCCTCCATTGAATGGTCTTGGCATGCTAGTCAGAAATCATTTCACTATACATGCAGGTTTTATCTCTGGGTTTTCTGTTCTTTTCATTGGTTTTGAGATCGCTTTTCTAAATATTTTGTGTTACACATTTTGTTTTAAGCACTGCGTAAGGAGATCCCACAATGTTTCATATATTATATTTGCTTTTCCTTTCAGTTTAAAATTCTGTAAAATTTTGTAATTTCTCTTGTGACTCTTTTGTTCAGCCCTGGATTAATTAAGGAATGGGTCAAACTTTTTGATATTTTCTGATTTTCTATGTCCTGATTTTTGGTCATTTTACTGATTATGAGATAAATATTAAGGCCTAATTTTCTCTGTTCAATTGTCTGCACAGTTTTCTCCCTCAGTTACTTTGAACCTCTATTGTTAGTAGTATAAATATTTTGAGGCTTGCTATATCTTGAAGAATTGCCCTTTTTATCATTGTGTAATTTCATTCTTTCTTTGTTCCTGTCAGTACTTTTTTCTTCTGGAAACTATTTTGTTAGATACTCATCAAACCACTAATATCTTTTTTTCTACTGGGATTCCAATTATTTCATTTTGTGTTGTTTTATAGTCCTTAGATAATATTTTTTCATATCAGTTTTTTTTGTTTTGTTTTGTCTTTTTCAGATTGGGTAATTTCTGTTGTTCTTTTTTTTTTTTTTTTTTGGTACCAGGTATTGACTTGGGCCCTTATGCTTGTGAGGCAGACAGCAGAACCACTGAGCAAAATCACTGGCCCTGTTGTTCTATTTGTTCTATCTTTTAGTTCTTTTTTACTTTTTCATTTTCCGTGCTAAAAATTTTCTTAGGTTCTTTTTTTTTCTTATTTTGAACTATTGAAGATTGAACCCAGGGCCTTGCACATTCTTTAGGTTCTTTTTAAAAATAATTCCTCTCTCTCTTCTAAGTATTTCTACCTGTTTATTAATTTTTAATGTATTTCTTGTAACTTGATAGAACATGATTATAATAATGGTTTAAGATCTGGGCTTCCCCCCACCCTTGGTAGTGGGGATCATACTTGGGTCCTTGTGCTTGAGAGGCAGGCAGCAGAACTACTGAGCTAAATCCCTAGCCCAAGATCTAGGCTTTTAATTATAGCTAGCTGTCTCATCTTAGAATTGTATATCTTTTTTTTTCTTCTTCTTCTTTTTTTGTACTAGGGATCCAACTCTGGTCCTTGTACCTGCGAGGCAGGCGCTGGAACCACTGAGCTAATTCCCCAGCTCAGAATTGTATATTATTTTTAAAAAGTATTTAACTGATACAGAAAAACATATACATATACATATATGTAAATGGAGTATGATGTGATGTTTTGAATCATGTATGCGTTGTGTCAAAAGTCACGTTAAATATGTCTTCTCAAATATTTACCATTTCCTTATGGTAAAAACATTCAGAATTTTTTCTTCTAGCTTTTTGAAATATATAGTACATAAGTTTGGTAAACACTTGTTTGTGAACCAAATTGTTTACAAACAAAAGTGTTTGTGAACTGAGGTACTGATATAGGAGAAATATAACTGTCAACCTGCTAGATGTCAGATGTGCCAATTTTGTGACCCCTGAAATCAAAGAATGAATTCCAAAGGACAGAGGTGGTTAAGAGTAGGAGAGGTTTGTTGGAAAATAAGGAAAGCTCATAGAGATAGGAGGGGTCTCAAGCAGGTTGCCACTGAGCTCATTTCTCCAAGAAAGTTTTGTAGGGCAAAATCACAAGGTGGATACACAGTCATGAGATGGATACATTATGGATCAAATTATAATCAACCAATAAGATTACAAGTATAGCTGTTTACCTAATATTGATCTAATAGGGAAGTGGGGCACTTAGCAAGGCCATATTGCTGACATCGCTTACATTGACTTATCTGTGACTTCTTCTAAAACAGGAACATTTTGGGGAAGGGATGTTCCCACCTGTTCTGGTCACCCATCCCGGTGCATGATGTATAGCTGGATTTAATGGACTGGGTGGTACCAATTAACAGTATAATCTTAAACTCCTATTCATCCCTTAGGGGAGTATGCAAATTGGGGCATTATGACTTTAATAATTTTTATTTTTAAGGCAGGGTCTCCCTATGTAGTACAAGCTGGCCTTGAATTCACAGTGTAGCCCAGGGTAGCCTCAAACTCTGCAGTCCTTCTGCCTCAGCCTCCATAGGGCTGGGATTACAAATATGTACCACCACACCCAGTTTGTGATTTTTTTGGGGGGCAGGGGTACTGGGGATCAAACTCGGGTCCTTGCGCTTTTAAGGCAGGTGGCAGAACCACTGAGCTAAATCCCTGGCCCTCCCATCTTGTGATTTTAATCTTGAGGCCTCACCGTCTTCAGATGTGCCTCCAGCCACAATTTTGTTTTTTTGTTTTGTTTTGTTTATTTTATTTTATTTATTTATTTAATTATTTTTTTGTACCAGGGATCGAACTCGGGACCTTGTGCTTGCAAGGCAAGCAGCAGAACCACTGAGCTAAACCCCCAGCCCCAGTCACAATTTTGATGTCTTTACCTTCCACTGACTTTGAGAGCACAGTCCCTCTGACTGTATATTAATTTTTATGTAACTTAGCTGCCTATAATGTACCACTATACTGTATTGAACAGGAGTGGTGATAGCGGATATCCTTGTCTTGTTTCTCATTTTATAGGAAAAGCTCCCTAAATAACCAGTAACCTTTATGCGGCCAAGCTTGAACTTCTAAGGAATTCTGTGTCTAACCTGCACCCTCTACACCACTATCTCTTGTGGTTTCTCCCACCCAGTCAGTGTGGTAGGGTTACCCCAGAAACCCTGGAATGTAGTTGTTCTGCAGCTCAGTCTTAACCCTTTTCCCAAATGCCTCCTGGTTAAACACACAAATATGGCAAGCACTGCCCTGTATTTCTTCTCCACCTCTAGCCTGCTATGTAGAAGTAGTTACTTTCACCGTAAATCCCATGCTTTGTTTTGTTTTGTTTTTCTCCTCTCAGGTTAGTCCATTGTTTCTTCCTGGAGATGCCAACCCTCTCTGGCTTTAGCTTGTGTTTTGGGAGACAGGTTCCCCTCCCAGAGAGCAGGTTTAGCTTTCTAGACTGCTTTGTTCTTTTCTCTGTGTTGTACTCAGTTTCTCCAGCTTAGTTTTTAGTTTTCCTCTCAGTTCCTTCCTGATTCCCAGAGATCTTTTGTTCTTCACCAACTTGTTCCCCCCCACCAGGAGTCTTGTTTGCAGGTCCCAGAGAGTGTGTATATTGCTTATTGGTCTTTATGCCACCATTTTGAATCCCTTTGCACACTTTTAAAGAATACTGCAATATAAATGTATAATTAATATACAACATAGCTCCAAATCATACTGTACTTTTTATATTTTACTGTAGTTATGTTTTGCCTCTCAATATAAATCATTGATTATTTGTGGGGTTTTTTTTACATTCAAACCACTTTTTCTTATTTTCACATTAAGTTATTCTATTAAACAGGCATTCAGTTTAAACAAGTTTTGGTCCTAGTAAATCAAAATGTTTTAGATCATACAGAAAGACATCTGTAGTAACAAGCAAACTTTCTATGTAGAAGCATTTGCTAATGTAGTACTTATTTCTTGTTGTTTTTCTTGTCTTTCCTTCAGTGAAGCTGTGGTCTACCAACCTAGACAATTCAGTGGCTAGCATTGAGGCAAAGGCCAATGTGTGCTGTGTTAAATTCAGCCCTTCTTCCAGATATCACTTGGCTTTTGGCTGTGCAGGTAAAAAAATTAAAGCATATTTATCTTCTTTTGATGTTGATTCAGTATTATGTCTAGAAGAACATTTTAAAATGAGTGATTACTTTTGTACACTAAAATTTTGTTATCTACAAATTTAGCTTATAATGTTTAAGATATTTAAACATAAATTTTTAAGAGAACCTATTCCTTCAGAAGTTATTTATTGTGTACCTGCTATGTACAAAGCATTCGTGTAAGGACATAGTGTTCCAAAATATTACCTATTGTTATTACAGAAAGGAATCAGCTGCTAAAATATCTTTCTTAAATAAAATGACTATGTCTAGGCTTGCAGTGAGCAGTTCTAGTTTACACTTGTACTTTCTTTTATTGTCTAAAGTATGGTGAGTTAAAAGATAAATCATATGATCACCCTATTCTTAATTTTTATTTTCTATAATTTTTTCTCCTTGAATATTTATTAAAACAGTAACTACTTTTAATTTAACTTTTCAATTATGAAATCTTAATTCTTTTTAAAAATAATATCAGGTCCTTAGAAAAACCTGAGAAGTATATCATGAGAATAATAGCAACATTTGAAAAGGAAAACATAATTTAAAACTTACTAGTATACTTCTTCCTAGTCTCAGCTTAATATGCGTTGCTGGGATGTTGACATAATTTCTTAGTTAAATGTGAGGAGTGCATGGACTCACATTTAGGTGTGGGTAGAATTCTTTATTAGTGTGTAGAATTTTTAAAATAATGATTGTTATTTTTTTTATTAACGTGCTTCCTTATGTAAATCCTTTTCTGTCATTAACCAGTTGAACTGGAGCTCTTTGATGCAGTTAGGATTGTTTTTTAAAATGATGCTATATTTAGAGCTACTATATGGATTTTAATAACTGCTTAGTTCTTGTTAGCAATATTTTATAATGTATTCAATTAAACAGTAGTTTTAGTTTTAATTTTTTTAAATGTGTGTTGTTTTATAAACACACTAACCTTTGGCCATTGCTTATGAAAAGATTGTTTTCTTCAGGTACTTGTATGCAAGTATTTCCCTTTCTGGAAAATAAAAAAACTTTTAAAATAATAGTTTAGCCAGTTTTATCTCACTGTTTTAAACTTTTGTACATTTCTTACTTAATTTTATCACTTACCTTTCCCTGGAAGCTTTAAGATTTATATTTTTCCAAGTTTAGAAAAAGTTCTTTTAGGATTATCATCAAAATTAAACTATATTTATTTGCTAATTTTGAAAGAACTGATTGGATTGTATATTTTGAAAGTATATTTGGATTGTATGTCTTCCCACACATTTATAGGGGATGTCTTTTTATTGGTTTTGAATTGTTTTCTGGTTTTCAATGAAATTTTGTACTGTAGTCCATTCATATTCTTGTTGTTTTGGGCCAACTGTTTTTGTTTTGTTTTGTTTGTTTTTCTATGTATAATTTTTGCTGTCATTTTAAGTGAAATATTTTTAGTTCTCTTACTATGATACTTTTTGGTTAGCATAGACAAAAACTTGATATGTGGTTTTTTTGTCTTATGACTAGGCACTGTACTATATTTTTAAATATTTAGTAACTTATTAAATTTAGTAGTTTTTTGTAGAATTTTTGGATTATAGTTATATCAGGCAAAATGATACTTGCATTTTTTTCTCATGATTTATTACATTCTCTGTCTCACTTGAAAGTTAGTGTTATGTATTCTATTCACAGACACACACACACAATATATATGCATATACATATATATTTTTTTTTTTTTTTGACAGAATCTCTCTGTGTAGTTCAGACTGGCCTTGAACTCACTATGTAGCCCATGCTGGCCTCAGACTTAAGGCAGTCCTCCTACCTCAGCCTCCTAAGTGCTGGGATTATAGGCGTTTGCCACCAGGCTTTAGTACCTTGTTATATGGGATGCCTACTTTTGGAAAACAGTTTTTATTCACAACTTTATTTTTCTATTTCTTATTTAGAAGCCAAATGGAGTAATTTATTAAGTGCCTTTCATCCTTAATTCGTATATGGTTTAATTTGTTGCCATAATAATGCTCATGCATTTTCTGATACTCTGTTTCTCAAGTAAACTTTGCTTTGGTGTAGTATAGAATCTTTTGATGAACTTCTGTATTTCACTGCTAGTTTTACATCTGTATCCACAGATTGAATTTTTCTGCATAATCCTCTTCAACCATTTTAACATCTCAATATTTTGTAATTTTCAATTTACAGTACAAGTATTTAACTTTTTTGTTAAATTTATTCTTAATTTTTTTTTACTTTTAGTTCTGTTGTAAAATGTAATTTTTTGATTGTCTTCATTGCCAGTGTACTGATACTATATTTCAACTCTGCTACTTTTTATTTATTCTTGTAGTTTTTCTGGCATTCTATATGTGTAAGATCATACCTTCTGCAGATTTAAACAATTTGTGGATCCCTTTTTGTCTTACTGCATTGCTACAAAGTCTAGTACATTGTTGAATAGAAGAAATGGCTAAAGAGGCTTTCTTATCAGAATGGGAAAATGTTTAGTCCTTCACAATTTTGTATGGTGTTAGTATAAAAGTTTATTTATTTTAAATTTCATAGATATCTTTTTATCTGATTGAGAATGTTTTAATCAATTCCTGGTTTGCTAAGAGTTTTATTGTGCGTAAGTTTTCCACGTTGTAATGTGCTCTTTTCTTGCCTCTATTGAAACAATCCTGTGACTTATGTTCTTTATTATATTAATATACAACATAATACTAGTTTGTTTTGTTTTCTTTGTTTAAACACCCTTTCGCTCCTGGGGAAATTGCCATCATAACCATGGTTCAAAATAATTTTCATGTTGCCAATTTTCTATTAATGAAGGTTGTTCATCTTTTGTTTTCTTATGTTATTTTCTGGCTCTGATAGCAAAGTACGTTGATCTTGACCTTATTATATTATAAAGAATGAATTGGGAAGTATTCCTTCCTTTGTTCTGAGTGTGTGTAGAATTGGTGTGGTTTCCTTAAGTAATTTCCAGTTCAATTTTTTTTAGTTCTCGGTATACTCAGAAATTCTTGAAATCAGTTTTGATCGCTACAGCTTTTCTAGGAATTTGGCCATGAAAGTTTTCTATTTTGTTACAAAGGTGTTCATAACATTCATGTATAATCCTTTTATTTTCTGTAATGCTGGCAGTAGTGATCCTTTTTCCATTCCTGACCAATTCTTTCTTATTTCTTTTAGATCAATGTAGCCTTTCTTTTCACTTGTTGTGCGTGTGCGTGTGTGTTTGTGTGTGTGTGTGTCTGTGCACATGTGTGCATGTGTATAAGGAGGACACAAATGGGAGCTGCTCTTGACCAGAACATCATATATTTCCCAATATTCTTAGCAAAATTTACTTGTTTGTAGGGCTAGAGAACTATTCTGTAATATGGACCTATGCAAGATTACTGTCAGTTCAACATAGAATAGATCAAAGAATTGTTATTTCTCAGCTGTTGAAACCAGAACATGATGCCATTGCTATAATCAGGGGCTTTGGCATCCTAACTACATTGACCATAGAACTGGACATGGACAACTACTGCACTACAAGAGAAACTCCTGTAGATTTATACTGTGCATGCAACAGAAGCATCCCCAACAGGGGCATGACTGGAGAATGTTGCCCTTTCAGATCTTATATAAATTTCATCTGATTGGTGGAGTCTAATTAATGTATAAAGGTATAACTGTAAAGGGATCTGTGCAATATAACTTTTCATCCTCTCTAGGCTATAGACTGTAAAATGGATGCTGTGTGCCATGAGTCATTTCTAGTACAGTGTGGTTTAGGAGTGAATTTCATACTTAATCTAAGTTGGACTTAAATAGGAGGAAGCATCAGAGCAAGACATTAATGGGGGCAAGTGGTCCTTGTTTTTATTTATAACTTTTAATTTCACTTTTCTATGACTGAAACATGATTTAACCACAGAAAAAACTTTCACTCCTAAGAAAACAGCAACTGATGTGTAATTGTCTTGATTTAGAATAGGAACATTTCTTAGAACATAGACTATTACCTAAATGTTTCTCTGTAAGCTGTAAGATGTCACTCTTCTGTTGCTATACTGTTTACCACTGAGAGCAATAGAGAATCATACTGACAAAATTGCTTGTTAATGTCTTTGGTAATATATTGGGTGTGGGATGTATTTTCTTAAACTTTGCTTCTATAGTCATGAAAGATGCTGAATTAGTATGTGAGCTACCCCCCAGTTACATTGTGATTTTCTATTGCAAGGGCAGTGTGAATCTACGTGGAAAGTGATGCATTATGTTAGCTCTAACCTTTCTTACCTATTTTCACTTGAATCATATATTTATATTTGTTGCAATTAATTCATTTTTTATTTCAGTTTGGAGGAACATTGTAAGATTAAAGTAAACAATTTCAAGTAGTCTGTAATATATTAGATTTGCTTTCAGACTAAGGTGAAACATCTTGTAATTTAATAAGCCATAATTAGTAAATAGGAAATACAGATACTGTCAACATGTCCTCTCTAAAGCAGTTTTTCTTTCAGAAGTTATTGACATTTATGTTAATAACTAGAAAGGAATACTGTTCCAAAAATAAAAAGAATTCTGAGATATACTATTTATGTGATCAGTAAGTATTTTCTCTCTTCCTAGTACTAACCAGGTGCAACCCTCCTTAGCTTCCAAGATCAGATGAGATCAGGCATGTTCAGGGTGGTGTGGCCGTAAACTAAATATTTTCAATTTTAATTACTCTTAAGTTCATACTGGCTAAATTCACACACCCCACCCCATTGCAGTGTTGTACAGACTCTATGATTTGGGGTATGATAAGTCTTATTTTGAAAGAAAATAAAATTAACTCTTTTTTTGTTGTTTAATTTTGTTAAATATCCCTATTAGTTTCTTTAAAATTTTTCATGGTTTCTCATTGCTTAAACATAGATTTTTTGTTTGTTTGTTTTCTATTCTTCACCTTCTCTGATTTTTCTCCAGTATTTCACCCATTATTTG